TGAATTGGGGTTTGGTGGCATAGATGGATTCGACTCTAGGCCTGCGCATTGTTTTGTTAGTACGTCAGCCCGACGATTGTAAATGTCATTTACGTCATAATAGAGGGCCACTAGAAAAGGAACCTGTACATTACTATTTACACCACTCGAACTGGCATACCCAGGTATCATCCTGGGCACTTTTGATCATCCCCCGGATCCGTGCGTGGGGCCAGACACGTATATCGACGGAGCAACTTCGGATCGTAGACGACGAACGCTTTGACGAGAGTGTTCATCGAGCACGAACTCATTGTTTTTGCGCCTAGAATGCGAAGTCGATACTTGGCCATGTATCCGATCTTCAGGGTCTCCGGGGATAATGCGGTTGCAGGGATGGCCAGGTGGGAGCGGTCAACCAGCGTCACACGTCGCAGTTGCCGGGCAACGAGCGAATAGAGAAGCTACGTGCAGCAGCTCTACCACATCACCACCGCTTTTTCGCAGTGTAGTGTCGTACAATTAATCTTCTCTCGTTCACATATCGTTCTCTCCCCTTGTTTCCCCGAGTTAGCAATTTAGCTCTCCCAGCCAGCGCGCCATTACTTCCGGCAAGTACAAACAGAGCAGTAAACATCGAGGCCAGCGTGCATCCCCAATGTTCACGTCCAAGGAAAGGGAAGGCGCTTCGTCGCCCGGGCCTGGTGCCTACTATTCTCCGTCCCAAATGAGTAAGAAGCATCGAAATGCATCTGCAACTGCGATACTGACCATTGGCATACAGAGAGCTATCTCCAAGATCTTCGCACAAACCGCCCCGCTCGTCCTACCGGAGCTCGTCCTGCTCCCGCACATTTTAACACATGGTCGAATAGATCCAGTAACCGAATGTCCGACTCGTCCGCTATCTCTTCGTTACAACGCACCTTCACGGATCCCGTTGTCGACGCCGATGCGCGACCCTCCTCCTCGTACGAATCCAAATCGCATAGCCGAACGACGTCGAAAGCGAGTATAGATGACGTCGTAGCCAATGTTGGAAGGCCGCTGGTGCAGCCACCGCGAGGACGGGAAACTACGAGGTCGTCGTCGCAAACACGAACACCAAGTGTGCAGTACCGCGAAAGGGAAGAGCGTCAGGCGGAGCAGGGCGAGGCACGTGCTATCCGCATTGCCATGGAGGATCTGGAACTCGCACAGGAAGAGGGCAAGATATTCGAGGCGGCACGAGACGAAGCTGTCGAACTGGTCTGGAAGCATTGCAATCCCCATGTGGCTGGCGTGAGTCCGACCAAACCGTATGCTTATCCGGGCCTGGCCAGGAAGAACAGCGCGCAGAGGAGTCGGAGCGTCGAACCGAAGGATCAGGATCTGCAACGGGCCAATTCTAAACTGCGGAAGCGACATTCGATGGGAAGTGCCGCGTCAGGGAGCAGGAGTAGCAGCTTGCAAAGCAACGGTGGTGGAAGCAATACCGATACATCAGTCGCTGGAAACGCAGGTTTCAGTACGTCGCCCACCAAGAGTAGCTTCGACACAAAGGGCAACAAGGACGAGTCAACAGCACTAAAGAAAGCCATTTCAGACCTCCCAGACTTCAGAGGACGAAGAAGGAGCAGTGGTCAGCGCCGGACTATCAGCGGGAGTCTCTTCTCGAATCCGAAGGACCAGATATACGAAGAGCCCGAAGAAGAAGCACCACCTGCGCCTGCACCTACGCCCGCCGCTTCCGAACCACCGAAGCCCGAAAAGCTACCACTAGGCATTCGGCGCAATCCCTTTATGCGTTTCCAATCCATCAAGGGAAACCCGATGGTGAGGTCCAACACGGATCCCACCATGGCTGCTAAACGCCTCGATCGTTACGAGATACAAAAGAACCCTCCGACTCAGTCAAGAAATGCGGCGTATACACTGAACTCTGCAGCTCCAAAGCCGTCAGAGGATGTCAAGGCAGACGCAGAAAATGAACCAGAAGTGAAGATGAAGGACGGCAAGGAGATAAGAAGCGAAGAGCTCCGTGCTGCTACAGGGTTTCGTTTGAAGGACCGCAGTGCAAAGCTGCCCACTCCTACGGCAGTCTCAGACGCCCCAGGGCGACCGATCGTTTCCTTCAAGAAAGACTGGAACGTGATCGAGATGAAAGAGGAAATATCTACTGCTCCCGATCTAACACCACGACCTCTGAACCCAAATAAGTCTGGCAAACCTCCACTCGAGCACGCTGCAACCGAGCCCATCGTACCTACCACGAGCCTCGCACCAGATGTACCTAAGCGAAACACTACTCCAAGACCGCCTGTGGTTCCAGAGATCAACGTTCCTGCAGAGCCCAAAGTCAGTCTTTCACCAGACGTACCAGAGCGAAGCACCACTCCTAGGCCACCGGTGGCTCCAGAAGTTAACCATTCGTCAGCTTCCGTTCCTGCACCTGGGCGTTTCAATCTGAAGTCGAAACCTACCATCAACATCTACGAAGACCCTCCAGCCCCAACGAGACCCCTACCACTCACTAGTTCGCTAAGGAAGGCCAACATCCCAACTCGACCTTCTGTAACTCCTCTGCCTACTATTAACGTGTCTGAATCGGGCCCTGCGCGTTCGAGAACGACACCAGCACCGCCAGTTCCTTCTATCTCCGTGTCTGAGACCCCATCGATTTCAGCCAGGAAGAATCTGTTCAATCGTAGCTCCTATGTGCCGCCAACAAGTAGCACTCCGTCTATACCAAGCATATCGGTCAACGAGTCTCCAGTTCTAAGACGAGGTTCCACAACACCCTCAGTCTCCATGACACCAGAAATCCCATCAATCTCCGTGAGCGAATCACCTGCGCCGAGCCGTGGGTCAAGAACCAACGCTCCCCCAATTCCAAGCATCTCCGTGAGCGAAACACCCTCATTGAGGAGAGGGTCGACTACACCATCCATTAGTGTGACTCCTGACATTCCAACCATATCTGTCAACGAGGCCCCAGCTCCTACTCGAGGGCGCAACAACAACAACAACCCCCCTGCGATATCGGTCAGCCCTTCAGTGCCTTCGATCAACGTAAACGGACCCAAAGGTTTTGGCCCGGCCGCGTCTACACGACCACTACCAGTGCCAAACGCTCAGAACAAGTCCCACAGCTATAACGGCACTGCGACTCCCCGCTCAGGCCACTGGACACCAACCACAGTCCGTACAGGCGCTCTCTGCACTCAATGTGCCCTCCCTATCGCAGGCCGTATCGTTTCAGCATCAGGCTCCCGCTTCCATCCCGAATGCTTCGCCTGCTACCAATGTGGAGAGCACCTCGAATGCGTAGCCTTCTACCCGGAACCTTCGAACAAACACGCCGAACGCGTCCACCGCATCCGCGCCCGTCTTTCCGGCGCCGACATCCCTTATCTCCCCTCCCACCCCACCGCAGACGACATGGCGCGTCTCGAGTATGATGATGGCACTGATGAATCTCCACGCTTCTACTGCCACCTCGACTTCCATGAGCTCTTCTCCCCGCGTTGCAAAAGTTGCAAAACGCCAATCGAAGGCGAGGTCATCGTCGCTTGCGGCGCGGAATGGCATGCTGGTCATTTCTTCTGCGCTCAGTGCGGTGATCCGTTTGATTCCACAACCCCTTTTGTGGAGAAAGATGGATACGCTTGGTGCGTGAATTGCCATACGCATCGCTACAGTACGAAGTGTAAGGGGTGTAGAAAACCTGTTACCGATACCGTTGTCAAGGCGCTTGGGGCGGAGTGGCATGTTGGATGCTTTGTCTGTGTGGTAAGTCTTCTTCCTTCTTCCAACTCAAGTATCGCGCTTACTGACTTTACCTGTGTAGTGCTGCTCTGGTCCTTTTGAAGACGGTAGATATTTCCTCAGGGGTGAGAGTCAGGATCCTGTTTGTGTGCGCTGTGAGGAGAGGAGACTAAAGGCCTGATTTGGCTGCTTGTCCGCTTGCCGACCTCATTTTGCTGGGTGTTATTTGCATACCGTCTGAACATTTTGGTATTTGCGTCATTTGGGATGGGGAGAAAGGCGCTGTCTGGGCGTTTTCTGGTAGCATATTAGGTAGTTGTGGAGTTGGTAATACAAGAAGAAGAACAACGTTAAACAACACAGTGTGCAGCTTATTGGTCTCGCAGCGGTAAAGCAAGGCTAGAAACAGAAGATTTGGAAGGCGTCTTGACTGGTGCCGGGCTCTTCGCCCCTCTTTCTCCAGGTTTGAGATGTTACCACACAGCCAAGAGGAGATATCGTTCACTGTCGAGGTCGATATTTATCTTGATCAGGATATCGAGGGATCGGGTGGGTATACCTGCTTAGGGTGGATAATAGCCCCGAACATTTGACCTTGGTCTCCACGGTTCGCATTTTCGGTATCACGAACATATCGCGTGGAGTTATACATCCACATCTTGATACACAGGCTTTCCTTTTGCGGCTAATTGTCAGAGATCATGGATTAGTGAGGAACTCAGGTGATATTCGTCGTATACATTGTAACAGGGATGCATCATTGTGTATCCTAAGAGTGTTTGAATCACGACTACACCAAATACCTTCAGGATACTCTGTAGCCTACATCCACGTTGTTGTTGTCAATTTTTCATTCAATGGTATATCTAATAATACAAAATCTCTGTTCAAAGCAAGCAAAGAACCACGCTTTAGAATCAATAATACGCCATGCATGCACCGTGTTTTCGTGGCCAAATACATGCTTTCCTGCCGGAGAAAGACATCGTCTATTGGCTGCCCCACCACCATTACCCCCAACGATGCAAGAGACAAACCAGAACCAGGCTGAGGAAATCTCTGGCTCAATCTATATCTGCTACCAGAACGCCGCGACGTTGCTAAAAGAAGAAGGAGGAAAGAAGGCCAAGGTGTAGTATACGAAACTGTACTTGCACACAAAATAAGCAAGCGAAGAAGGGAACAAGACAGAGAAGACTGCCAGCGCTACTAAAAGCTGTCTGCCCTTTGATCAAGAAAATTTGGAATCTCCCCCTCAATTGAGTAAATGGGGCTTACTGACTGCTACCATGTCCAACCCCATTCAAACCATTCATCCTATCAAGAAACCTGTCCGGCGCAGGACTCGACTTTTTAACAGGTGGGTCAAGGATCGTGGGGCTAGAAAGGGGTTCCAGGCTCTTAACTGGCGGAAAGATGGGTGTCTCAGACATCTGATGACTCGATATTGGCCGCATACCATCGTGCTTCAATGGCGCTGGGATGGGATCGGGGAGCATCTGGGCAGGCATTTGGGACGATGGAGACGGAGCTATACGCATTGGTGCTGGGGCCGGTGATGACATGTTTGCTGGAAGAGGTGCGGGCGAACTATGTTTGGTCGGGGAGAATGATGGACGGTTGGCCGAGCTAGGTGGGAAAGAAGAATGTGGGCTGTTGAAGTTGAAACTAGGTGGTAGACCGTTGGCTGGACGGGGAGAGGCCGCCGGAGAGTGTTTTACTGGCGAGCCGCCTGGGCCTGCTGCTGATGCTGGGCGACTGAAGCTTCGCGCGTACGGTGGTGCTGCCGGCTGTGGTGGTCCAAAGGGGTTGGAATCGAACGGATTTGGGCCCCCAAATGAGCTGCCGTTCTGCTGTGGTTGTGGCATGTGGAAGCTTTTGGTTGGGCTGCTCGGTATTCGCTCGAGGTTGTAAGGTGGAGGTGAAGACGTCGGATGACCGTTCCCAGTTCTGTGGCCAGGGGATGAGAAGTGAGATCGTATCGGTGATGACATGCTACCGTTTGTGCCCTTTGTGGGCGATCCATAGGCAGCTTCCGATCTTTGTATACCAGGCGGACCCAAAGCTTGACCACGAGGAGATAGACTTGGGCCATCGACCCACGGCTGTACAGGATGCATAGACGGCTGGAAGGCTTGCGGTGCTGGTAGTCGTGGCATGGAGGGTCCGTTGCCATTTGCTTCTGCTAGGCTTTGAGAAGATGGCGATTGTGATGTCAATCGTAACTTGAGAGACTGAGGCTTCGGTTGATCCGCCTCTTCCTCTTTACGTTTGCAGGCAGTACAGACAAACACAAACTTCGAATCATCGGCCTGTTCTTCTGTAATGCCGTGGCACTTCATGTGTTGCCAAACGTTGCACTTCTCACATGATATCTGAGGCGTGTTGTCGTTCTGTCAGAGTTAGCAGAAGTATGGGTAATTGTGCAACGATACTCACGAGGTTAGAGCCATAGGTGCCGCACTTCTCGCAGTCAAAGAACCAGTCTTCTTCCTCGTTGAGCCTCTTGAGGTCACTTTCGTGCTTCTTCATCATGGCCTTCAGGTGCCGCTCCGATAGTCTTGCATTATTCGAGGCCAGTTTTTGTTCGTTCTCTTGCAGCTTGCGCAGCTCCTCTTCTTTGAGGATCTTGGCCGTCTCACGCTCTTTTAGCCGTTGCTCACGAGTCATCCTGCGAGAGTCTTGTGCTTCCTCCATCTTCTTCTGTCTCTCTTGCTCTGCCTTGGCCATGGCAAGCTCCTCCCGCCTCTTACGTTCTGCAGCCTCAGCCTCTTCCACCTCTTTCTGCTTTTCAAGGCGCGATGAGATTCGGGATGAGCGCTTTGCCGTGGCAAGTTTCTGCAAGTTTTCCAACTCTTTCAACTTGCGGGCCTGCTTTCTCGCTTGCTCCTCTGCCAGCCCCTCCATAACAGGGATGACGTCCTCCTGGAGCCTTTTGTAGAGTATCTTCTCGTTTGGGTCGCGACTCTTCCGGATACTGTTCATGTACTCCTGGTAGTCTTCCAAGGTAACGCAGATACACTCCCACTTCTTACCACCAAGACCGTCGTCTATCGTCTCAGGCTGATGTTCGTCCGCTACTTGCTCATCATCGGCGGCTTCTTCGGGCTCGGGAGTAGACGCCTTTTGTCGCTTGCTGGATCTCGATCCTTTTGATTTCCTGGACTTTGGTTTGGCTTTGGCTTTGGCAGGTTCGGGAGGCGGTGGTGGATCTGTCATTCGGTACATGCGGTTGTCATCTAGAACATAGAGCGATCGTTCTTGCGAGTCCCAGCCTGTGGGCTCCATACGCTGCAACATGTTAATCATTGCCCTAAACCAATCCATGTGATACATACCCAGAGCGTCTGCTCGTTATCCGTCGCTGCCATTTTCTCTCTTATTGTGTTTGGGTTGTTGAGCGTCCACACAGATAACTGCTGCAACACGCGTATCTTGGTGAAGACGTCGAAATCGTGGAATTTGTTGGGCTCCTCTTCCTCGCCAAAGGGGTTTCGCGCGGGCGCTTTCGCGACATACTGTCGGCGGGTGTATTCATCAAAGATCTCGGGTCTGTCATCACGTTAGCAGGCTGCAGGCAATGCGCAATGGTGGGTTCTTACGTCAAGCCCTTGTGTGACGATACGTGCTTCAGCAGCGCTAGGCCAATTTGTGCAAGTTTCTCGGACGGCTGTGGGTTGAGGCATTCAGACTCCAATTCCTACACGTCTGTCAGTTCCTGATGTTTGCGAGATGTATGCGCGCCAGCCTGAGATGGTGGGCGCAAATGCCATGTACCTCGATGTCAAAGTCCTTGTCGATTTTGACCGCGTCGCCGAACAGACTGATGTACTGGGCCAGGTTGGAGAACTGCCACATGTTGCGCAGTTTCTGCAATGTGCTGGGCTCTTCGACAGGCGCCTCGGCCTCCATTTCCTCGGCGGCGCGTTTTCGAGACGGCATGGCTGCGGTGCCTCGCGTGCAGCGACGCGTGTGAGCAACGGGCGAATACGGTTTCGAGACCAGAGGCGAAGGATAGAAGATGCGCGTGTTATCAGATGACGATGTGGAATGCTGTCGTTGTGCCGGTCGGCTCGGGGTCAGGGCGATGATGTGAATGCGGATGTCCCTTTTTGGTGAAGTGAGTGATGAATGTCGCGCGTCGATTGTCGGCGAGTCCGGGGGAGAGCCCAAAACGGCATAGTGCCAGCTCGCACATGTCAACTCGCAGAGACGGCATTTCCATAACGAAGAACGGCAAGAAATGATATCGATTTCAGTATACAAGCAGAACAGAACGGCACAAATACTATGTTGTATACACGGTATGAATATAGGTCGCTTACCATGGTAGCTGCCATGATAAACTTTAGAGCACCCATCTCACCGGAGAAATACGGGCTTATAGAGTATCAGCGTTTCGTGAAATGATGCATGAGTCGACCGACGGTGGATTGGCGCGCACCGCACCAACTCGTTCGAATCAACATGGCAAGGGTTTATGTCATAAAGGTTTTGATGACCCGATTGATGACACAGGACGCGTCAGCCACGCAGGCGCACAAGCCACAGCACTCCACCAAGTGTGGCTCATTGCCGGAGAATGCCACATGCCAGGGGCCAGAGACGTTGCATGGTAAGCCGTCAGCAGTTTCGGATCCTCTGCGGTCGTGTTGGTCCCTGGTGCTTATGGTAGCGTATTTTGGCTTCACGAGTAAACACTGTGTATGTAGTTGTACAGCAAGAGGGCATTCGCCGTAGCAGACGCATTCTGCTGTGGACATGGAGCAGCGCATGCCGACACGACAGGTACAGTAGCCGTTAAACTAAGATTAGAACCTCAGCCCTAGTCCACGCTGCGCATCCTTGTCGCTCATTGACCCTTGTCCGTGCTTGGGAATCCGCTATCCATCCCGCATTTCAGCCAACACTTTGCTACCAAACATACAAGACACGCCTTTGCAACTCTGCGCTGGACTTGGCTAGCCCACCACCGCCTTTCCCACCGCTCCTTTCACCACGACACTCGTTTATCTTTGTTTGGAGGCCTGCATGATTGCGCGATAGCATCCTGAGAGAGCTGAGCTGCATCAGATGCTGGATTGAACGCCGCAAACCAGACAGGACGCTCCGATGTCCTACCCAGATCCCAACCACGGCCGAAGTCACACCCACCAATCAATACCTCTGCAAGACCTCAACCGCCCGCCTGATGAATTCGAACAAGATGCGCCGCAAGAACACAGGCGGACCCTCAGCGACCGCGGACGGAACCTGCTCAGACAGACAGGCGCGATAGCAACAGGGGGACACTTCCGCGACTCTCAGTACTCGCCCATCGCAGAGGTGTCGCCCAGCCCTACGCGCTTCGCCCAACGGCCGCAAATAAACACCAATTTGCCCCCAGCGAATAATGGCATACGGAGGGTGGTGGAAGACGAGGAGCCTGGCTCGCCCTTGGATGCAGGCGCATTCCAGGCTGCCATCGGATTTGGCATGGGCATGGAATTCCAAGGCACTACATCGCCGCCAATGCCTACGACAGGCTCGTCGCAATTATCCTACGTCGATACACCGTACGAGCACGAGCCATACGTGGACAGATCAACCTCCGAGGACCACGACTACTTCTCCCCTACCTACGATGACACAGCGCGCTTGACAGATTCGCGCAATCTCCAACCGATAAGCGGAGCCACGGCCCCAACTACTCCGATTGAGCAAGATCGATCCAGTTTCCAGAGTGTGCGCTTCCTCAGTCCAGGCGATGCATCGCCGATAGGCCGCCATGGCGACGATATCGGGCAGGTGGAGGCGGGGGGCAACTTGCGAGACTCGAGAGGAAGGAAGCGCTCCTTGTCGCCTGGCAATTTCGAGTCGCCGCTACACAGGGCTGGGACTATCATGCGGAATATGTCCCAGCGTGTTGTCAATGTCAGCAATGATTCTCAAGTTGCCGAACGAACCCTTCAGCGGAAATCCACTCAACATCAGGGACGCCTTGCACCACCTCATTTGTCAATTTCAACCTTGCCCCAGTATTCCACAGATGGCCCTACCTCACCTGTTCCATCCACACCAATCGAGAAGCCCCCGTCGCCTATCGTTTACTCAAGAACACCAAGTGCATCATGGCAACATCCTCCAAATCCTTTGCGGGGAAAGAGTCTGGGAATTTTCCCTGCCGACAATAAACTGAGGATCAAGCTCTGCGACCTGCTTGTGCATCCAGTTGTCGAGCCAACGCTTCTTGTACTCATCGTCATTCAGACAGTTCTTCTAGCAGTGGATGCGCGCACCAAAGCGCAATACAATGCCGGGCACAGCAAAGAGATCTCAACATTCAACGGCATTGACTACGCTCTGTTCGTCCTTTTTATCATATACACGCTAGAGGTTATTATCCGCATCATTGTCTCTGGTTTTATCATCAATCCCGTTGAGTACAGTACCATCAACCGACAGGTTGGCTTGCGCGAGGCTGTCATGAGCAAAGCAAACCAGTTGTTCGGGGGTCTCCAACGACAACCTTCACAGCGAAGAAGTGCCACCAATACCGATCCCGCTCAGGATCCCCACCAGCCTTCAGTGCTCCGGACCTTTACCACTGCGCAGATGCATACCGACATCGGAGTAGGAGATGCACGCCATCAACAACGCACTCGCTTGGCACATCGAGCCTATCTCAGACATTCTTTCAACCGAACGGACTTCGTCGCCGTCGTTTCTTACTGGATTGCTTTTGTCCTAGGCCTGTGGAACATTGACAACAGCCGAGTCATTCTCGTCTTCGATATGTTGAGCTGTCTGCGCATCATCCGTCTTCTGAACCTTACCAGCGGTACCTCCGTTATCCTCAGGAGCTTGAAGAAGGCTGCGCCTTTGCTGGTCAATGTTGCATTCCTCATCAGCTTCTTCTGGCTCCTCTTCTCAATTGTCGGTGTCCAAAGTTTCAAGTCAAGCCTCAGGAGAAACTGTGTGTGGTATGATCCAACAGATCTAACGGGGAACACGAACGTCACGAATGAAGGTCAATTCTGCGGTGGTCACCTGGATAATATTCCAGGCTATCACCCTATGACATACATACCTGCTCCGGGTATGCCACCTGGGCCTGACAAGGGGAAAGGCTTTCTTTGCCCAAAAGGTTCAAAATGCGTTGAGATGAGTAACCCCGCTGCAGGCACGAAAAGCTTTGACAATATTCTTCAATCTCTTGAGCTTGTTTTCGTCATCATGTCATCCAACACTTGGTCTGACTTGCTCTACACTGTAGCCGACACAGACTACCTTATCAGTTCCGTCTTCTTCATCGTGGGAATGCTGATTCTGAGTTTATGGCTGATATCTCTTTTGATTGCTGTCATTACTTCCTCCTTCCAGATCATTCGCGAAGAAAGCAAGACTAGTGCTTTTACTGGCGTGGAGATCAAAGAGGAGGATGACGAGAACAACGACGAAAAGAAACGTGTGAGCGGTCTCAAGCGGCTTTACGACAAGACTCTATGGGTGTGGGTGGTTGTGATAGCCTTTGGCCTTGTTGCCCAGATGATGAGAAGCGCCAACATGAGCGAATTTCGTCGCACCTTCATCAATGCCACCGAGATCATCGTCACGTTCATCCTGTTCGTTGAGATCATCATACGAATTATCGTCGACTGGAGACATTTCTTCAAGGGCAGGCGGAACCTCATCGACCTCATGATCGCTATCATCACAGTCATCATACAGATACCAGCCATCAAGCATGCACACGATGGGAAAGCCTATGCCTGGTTGTCGATCTTTCAGATTATTCGTGTCTATCGCATTGTCTTGGCTGTGCCTATGACACGCGACCTCATTGTACGTTCTACTCTTTGCCATTGGAAAGAATTCAGCTAACAATCATACCAGACAGTTGTTTTCGGAAACGCGGGCGGTTTGCTGAACCTGATTCTCTTCGTGTTCCTTTTGACTTTCCTGGCATCCATCTTCGCCTCCCAGCTGTTTCGCGGTGAGATTCCTGAGGAGAGCGGCGGAGAGACGATCCGCGTACCGTTTTTCGATATCTACAATTCCTTCCTAGGAATGTACCAAATCTTCTCCAGTGAAGATTGGACCAGTATCCTGTACAACGTCACCGAACATCAGAAGCCGTTCGGTACAGCGTGGATAGGAGCGTCCTTTTGTATCATGTGGTTCATCTTTGCTAACTGTGAGTATAATATTGACATTCATTCCAAGACCGCGGACTCACTGTTTACTAGTCATCGTCTTGAACATGTTTATCGCTGTCATTCAAGAGAACTTTGACGTTTCCGAGGACGAGAAGCGCTTACAGCAAGTCAAAGCTTTCCTGCAGCAAAAAGAAGATGGCCTTACCTCGGGCACTGGGTATGTTGACCTCCCTTTCTACTGATGACACACCTGCTTACACATTATAGTAATCTATCCCTATCGTCCATTTTCAAGCTTGGACAGGCGCGTCGAAGAGATCCACTTGACTATGGTTCCGCCGCCACAGAAATGCTGCTCAAAGATGCGGTTGTTCGCGACTTCCTCGATGAGGGGGATGGTAATGACAGCCCTCAAGAGGAAGAACCTCGGCCTGGCATACGTCCGGCCAAGACCATAGTGGGATCCGGAACCATGTCCACGATCTGGCAACGATTCCAGCGCCGAATTGTGCACCGGGAAGTCAACCCTTTCTACGCTCCCCTTGACTTCAGCCGTGCGTACGAGGACCTTGATCCTAGAACAATGGCAAAGGAGGTCGTCTCAGCTACCGAGAGACGAAAGAAGGCTCAACGCGAGTATTTGCGGAACCACCCGAACTACAACGTTTCCCTGTTCATGTTTCGAGCCAACAACCCGATCCGCAAGCTATGTCAGCGGATTGTGGGCCCTGGCCGTGGTGGTGACCGTATTGAAGGAGTTGCACCATCCGTTCCCGTTTGGTATGCATTCTCTGCATTTATCTA